GATGTCGTGCTGAACCAGGTGCGTTTGCCCTACCTCATCTTCCCCCCAAGCGAAGCTATCTTTAAAGTCAAACAGCAGCTGCTTTAACTGTCTCTGTTGTCTCTCGTCCAGACCTTGACAGTTTTTCAGCCACACAGCCTCAACGGCGTCGATAACTTCCTCCTTCCCCCCGTCGGGCTGATGGGGTGAAGGAGCCAGTGTGTTTTGGGCTACTGGGATGCCTGTGCTTGCACCATTATGGGGAGTGAAGGTCGTTGCCGCCGGAGACAGCTGCTGGGATGGCACAACGACCAAGGGAGCAGCCGGGACGACCAGTGGAGTTTCGGCAAGCTTGGAGGAAGACGGAGGGACAGCCCTGCCCCCTGCTGGCCCTCCCGAAGGCGACATTCCCACTGTGGGCCCCCCCGACAGCCTCAAAGTGCCCGAAGCTAAGTCCAACTGAGCCCCACAGTTTTTCAAAAAGTCCATTCCCAGTATACAGGGGTCCTGTACCGCTGCTACCCACACTGGACACCCCACAGTTCTCCCCCCCACAGTCACAGACACCCGACACTTCCCTAACATGGGGGCTAGCTCCCCCGTGACAGTCCGTAGCTGGACAAGGGTCGGCTACACCCGCACCCCAACAGGTAGTATGTCTGGTCTCACCAGGGTTACTGTAGAGCCCGTGTCGACCAGGGCCAAACATTCCACCCCCTCTACCTTGACGATGACATTGCAGAAGTCCCCAATGGTGGTACGTCCCACCACAACTACCGGACTAGGAAACACGGTGGCAGCTACACCCTGGGGAAGCAGGTCCCCACCCTCTTGCCTGCACTGCTGGGTACCTCTTCTGCTTACTGTGGGTTCGGGGGCGGAGGAATGGGCCCGCGCTGCCCCCTGCGCGAGAACCCGCTGTCGTTTCCCTGTTGACTGGAGAATCTGCCACACTCCCGCTGAATGTGGCCAGGCTGGCCACAACCCCAGCAGACAATGGAAGTTGAGCTGACACTGCGATGTTGTCTGGAGCCCCTCTCAATGACAAGCGAAGCGGTCTTGACTAACCCTCCCAACTCGTCGACCCACTCTGGTTTGGTGACCCCCGGCACCCCGGCCGCCGCTGCTCTCACCTCTGGTTGACTGGCAACCTCCACTCTCACTCCCTCACCCCAGATCAGCTCCCTCTTCCTGGCTATCTCCACTGCAGCCCGCAGAGATGCTGGGTCCGACATCTGCACATGCTTACCCAGTTCGGTGGGGGGAGAGCGCTCTAATAAAACTGTCCCGTGCCAGCTCGTCTTGCACCCCAATCGGCATAGTTACATAAGCCCGCCTGGTCAGGCTCAGAATATCACTTGCCAACGCCTTTAATGATTCCCCCTGAAGTCTCTTTTTGTTATTCAGTTCAATCCGCAGCATGTTGGGCTGTGCATCGCTGCCGAAACGGCCCCCCAATGCCTCCACTAGCGCACCGTAGTCGCCCCTTCTCGTCCGGGGCTAGCGTTAGCAGGCATTCCGACACCTCCTCTGACAGGCTCAGGGCAAGCTGTAACCCTTTCGTCTCGTCAGACCACCTCCCGGCTCTAGCCAACAACTCGAATTGAGTGAAAAAAACTTCCCATTTACCTTGTCCATTGAACTTTGGAAGTTTAGCCGCTACCGTGGCTAATGGCAATAGGGCGCTGCCATCTCTGTTTACATAAGGAGGTCCAGCCATTTCCGCACGCGGTGACGACGATATCTCCGTCGCCGTGACGTCTGTTCTGGTCGAGCGGTTTGAAGGAAAACCTGCCCGTTCTGCCATCTTGCTGACTGACAATTTAACTCCCGCCATGTGGCTCTCCAGCTCTTCTACAGCCGTCATCGCCTGACCCTCCCGACCGGGTACACCCGAGCCCACAACGGACACTTTGTCCGACTCTTCCTTAACTTTCCCCTCGCCCCGATCATCATGACCGTAGATGTGAGTCACGCTAAAGCTAACCACGGCCTATACTGAAACAGCTAACTCGCCTAATCTCGATCTATCCCGTCGTTCGAAAGCACTTCTGACACCAATGTAATGACCCAGCTGGGTCATAAAGTAAAAGAGAGACGGGCACCAGGTGTACAGGCAGAACACAGGTTTATTCCTGAATGGGCTATTGTTCAGGCCACAACCCACGCCGCTAAACCTCGAACATACACAAATAGAACATGTCAAATCAAGGGTCCCGAACAGAAGAGAGAGAGATGAGACCGTAACCCCTATTTTAAGCATTCCAAAACCCCGCGGGATTACCCATCATACCCCCCCAACCTTTCCATCTGTCCTGGCATATTTAACCCCTGCTAGCACCCATGAGAACGATAACACATCCATGAACACAGAACACAATACAGGGTCGTTACAATACTTTGACACTAAAAACGGATTTGCCACGCGAGCCCGGGCTATATGCCTTGTGATTGGGCTACATAAACACAATCCACAGCTAGGCAATTTTCTGTGGCTAAATTATAGGCCTACCCCTGGAGTAGTATTCTGAATTATTTGATTTCTTTCTGAACAGACAGCAGTAATTATATAACATTGGCAAATTTATTTCAGTGAATCAGAGGTGCTGCAGCTCCTCCAGCACCCTTACCGCGGCTATGATTCTATAAGGAAATAAATGATGATGTGCAATGCTGGAGAGATGAGAGTTGCAGGCTCATGTCTATCAGAGCAGAGAGAGGGAGAGAGACCATAGAAAGTGAATCTCATTCTAGTTCTGAGAGAGAGAGATACAGGCGCGCTTCTCTCTCTCACCACAGCAACGGCCATGCATTGGTCTCAAACACATGCGCTATAATGGCTGAAAATCGACATTTTCACATTAAGTTTTTTAGGGCAGGAGAATTAATGAGGCGGCAACTCGAATGAACTTTGATCGCTTTTTTCTCAGCGAAACAGTCCACAACTGAGAGGTGTATAATTTGAGCCAGATTCTGCCGGAACAGGATCAGGCTCAAATCAAACACTGCTTATACAGATGCATTCACATGCTGTGGCATCAGTTCAGCTTACATTGCAAACAGCTATTTCTTTTCTCAAGTAGAGGTACCGGATCCAGCCAAATAGGTTCTGGAGCGAAACAGTCCACAACTGAGAGGTGTATAATTGAGTCAGATCCTGCGGAACAGGATCCGGCTCAAATTAAACACTGCTTGTACAGGTGCATACACATGCAGTGGCGTCAATTCAGCTAAACCTAGGATATGGCAAAGTGAGGGTGGGGGGATATTTTTTTCGGGGGGGGGGGGGGGGGGGTTGGAAGTTGACGCTGATTTACTGCATTTCTACACAATTTATAAACTCTAAAATGCTATTTGGAGAACAGCTAAAACAAAAACAGCCATTAATTATCACTGCAAATGATTAATTGATCAATGATGAATTGATGTTTACTGATCATGAAAAGCATACAGTTACTTGCTGTATAACTCTGATGATAGAGCTAAATGTGCACAATTGTTTTGCATGGAATAATCAGGAAATGTGTAGGTCTGACTATGCACTTCAAGAGGTGATGATATTAGCGGAGCTGTGGGCCTCCTTGCCCCCCCAGCAGGCAAATTGAGCGCTCTACACCTTATTGTGATGTTTTATTGAAAGTGACCTATAAAATGTCAAACACTATAGTATATACTCAATCTCATCATAAATTGACTTATTTACTAGTGGAACGGCACATACAGTGCAATGTGAAATTGATGCATAATACACGCTATCAAGTCACAACAAGGCCGACATCAAATGCAGACATCCATAGTTTGGGGAAGATATTTCTTCACCATAAAATTGCACCTTTATAATGAAGGATTTCATACATCTAGCATCGCATTTGCAGACCAATGTAAGATAGGCTACTATTCCTAATGTGATGAGTAGATTGCATAGTCAGAATTTAGGCTAATAATATAACTCAATCACTCTTAGCAAAACAGACAGTTCTGAACACGTAGGTCTAATCAGAGATGTTTCTTCTTAGTATCCTACTCTGGTGACACTGACAACAGATCATTAAAAGTGACCTTGTCTTGAATGCAACCATCTAATCTGGCCTACGGAAAGGGGAGACACAAATTGTACAATATGATTTCCATCTAGCCTGAAGGAGGAAATTATTGTCCCCAAAAAACGTTCCAGTGGTACTGATCCAATGATAAAGACAGTGAATATGCTCGCGCTCACCGGGGCTTTGGCCTCCGCTGGTGCCAACAACATAAGCTACTGTTCGCTCAATTGGTAGAGACAGATTTGGCTTTTTATTGTGTTCTCTTTTCAGCAATAGCCATTTGCTTTCTGAACTATGTTTTCCTTACGATTGTATTTTGAAAAATGCGATAGGCCTAGGCATATTTAACAGCTTTTCACTAACCGCCACAACTCAACAATAAGCAATTTGGTAGGCTATTTGTATTGCCGCGTGCACTGCTCAAATTGCACGTTTTAAAACAATCCACAGCTCATTTTTTAAATAAGATGATACTCTGTGGCCAAATCATGCTCTCTGGTGTTGTATTTTGAATGATTTTATTTGTTTCTGTACAGGCACGAGTAATTATATAGCTAATTGTGCCGACATCAATATGGATGTAACCGGTGCATAAAACAACTGGCGGCAAGGCTTACATGGCCGAGTTCAAATGCGACATCAAATTCAAAGCAATCGGCGCACTGCCTAAACGGCTGACCAGCAAAGCAAACTTCCTGGCACTGCTCTGCTTTCTTAAAGTGAGAGAAAAGGCGCACAGGCTGGCAGCTTCTCCCCTAGCGATGCTCCGCATGGTCCTTAACCCAGCCAATCAATATGCTAAACATCCGTTGTATTTTAATTAGGATTAGAATGATTTTAGTCTACCTTTTTGTAGCCTACTTTTACATGTTTGACTGCCATACCCTGCCATACCCAACTGACACCCCTGTACAAAGGGATTTGGTGAAAGCAAGTAACATACTACATATACTCTACTGACATTGGCCTTAGCTTTATTTATTTCCTGGTGGTGTAGATTATGATGAAGCTGGTCAGACAGCAGAGGAGAACTCCAGTTCTTATGATGGAGAGAAGGACCAGGATTCTCATTTGTTGATCAGCAACTGAAATAACAAGAATTCTCAGTCTAGGTTGCTATAAAACGCTGTTGTACTTTATTTATATTCTGTGGTACTTTCATGGTACATCATATACATTCATTTACGAAAGATTCTCACTTAAAATAACAGAATAAACATACCTTCTTCACAATGCTCTGTAAGGTCCTTTTCAGAATCTTTGTGACCTTTTGGAAGATTAGGAGAGATAAATATTCCCACTGTTATTCCCACTGTAGTACGATAGTATTATATCTCCAACATTTTCTCAATAATATCTCTGATACCTCATATACATGTTAGTGCATTTGGAGTCATAGCAGACAAGTTGTTGAAAAGATTACCTTGGACCTTCAGGAGAGGTTGTTTCTCAGCGAAACAGTCCACAACTGAGAGGTGTATAATTTGAGCCGGATTCTTGCGGAACAGGATCATGCTCAAATTAAACACTGCTTATACAGATGCATTCACATGCTGTGGCATCAGTTCAGCTTACATTGCAAACAGCTATTTCTTTTCACAAGTAGAGGTACCGGATCCAGCCAAATAGGTTCTGGAGCGAAACAGTCCACAACTGAGAGGTGTATAATTTGAGTGTCAAATTAAACACTGCTTATACAGGTGCATACACATGCAGTGGCGTCAGTTCAGCTAAACCTAGGATATGGCAAAGTGAGGGTGGGGGGGATATTTTTTTCAGGGGGGGGTGGTGGAAGTTGACGCTGATTTACTGCATTTCTACACAATTTATAAACTCTAAAATGCTATTTGGAGAACAGCAAAAACAAAAACAGCCATTAATTATCACTGCAAATGATCAATTGATCAATGATGAATTGATGTTTACTGATCATGAAAAGCATACAGTTACTTGCTGTATAACTCTGATGATGGAGCTAAATGTGCACAATTGTTTTGCATGGAATAATCAGGAAATGTGTAGGTCTGACTATGCACTTCAAGAGGTGATGATATTAGCGGAGCTGTGGGCCTCCTTGCCCCCCAGCAGGCAAATTGAGCGCTCTACACCTTATTGTGATGTTTTATTGAAAGTGACCTATAAAATGTCAAACACTATAGTATATACTCAATCTCATCATAAATGGACTTATTTACTAGTGGAACGGCACATACAGTGCAATGTGAAATAGATGCATAATACATGCTATCAAGTCACAACAAGGCCGACATCAAATGCAGACATCCATAGTTTGGGGAAGATATTTCTTCACCATAAAATTGCACCTTTATAATGAAGGATTTCATACATCTAGCATCGCATTTGCAGACCAATGTAAGATAGGCTACTATTCCTAATGTGATGAGTAGATTGCATAGTCAGAATTTAGGCTAATAATATAACTCAATCACTCTTAGCAAAACAGACAGTTCTGAACACGTAGGTCTAATAGGAGATGTTTCTTCTCCATTCTTTGCACAGGAAAAATGTGGCCTTTTATAAACAAATTAGTATCCTACTCTGGTGACACTGACAACAGATCATTAAAAGTGACCTTGTCTTGAATGCAACCATCTAATCTGGCCTACGGAAAGGGGAGACACAAATTGTACAATATGATGTCCATCTAGCCTGAAGGAGGAAATTATTGTCCCCAAAAAACGTTCCAGTGGTACTGATCCAATGATAAAGACAGTGAATATGCTCGCGCTCACCAGGGCTTTGGCCTCCGCTGGTGCCAACAACATAAGCTACTGTTCGCTCAATTGGTAGAGACAGATTTGGCTTTTTATTGTGTTCTCTTTTCAGCAATAGCCATTTGCTTTCTGAACTATGTTTTCCTTACGATTGTATTTTGAAAAATACGATAGGCCTAGGCATATTTAACAGCTTTTCACTAACCGCCACAACTCAACAATAAGCAATTTGGTAGGCTATTTGTATTGCCGCGTGCACTGCTCAAATTGCACGTTTAAAACAATCCACAGCTCATTTTTTAAATAAGATGATACTCTGTGGCCAAATCATGCTCTCTGGTGTTGTATTTTGAATGATTTTATTTGTTTCTGTACAGGCACGAGTAATTATATAGCTAATTGTGCCGACATCAATATGGATGTAACCGGTGCATAAAACAACTGGCGGCAAGGCTTACATGGCCGAGTTCAAATGCGACATCAAATTCAAAGCAATCGGCGCACTGCCTAAACGGCTGACCAGCAAAGCAAACTTCCTGGCACTGCTCTGCATTCTTAAAGTGAGAGAAAAGGCGCACAGGCTGGCAGCTTCTCCCCTAGCGATGCTCCGCATGGTCCTTAACCCAGCCAATCAATATGCTAAACATCCGTTGTATTTTAATTAGGATTAGAATGATTTTAGTCTACCTTTTTGTAGCCTACTTTTACATGTTTGACTGCCATACCCTGCCACACCCAACTGACACCCCTGTACATAGGGATTTGGTGAAAGCAAGTAACATACTACATATACTCTACTGACATTGGCCTTAGCTTTATTTATTTCCTGGTGGTGTAGATGATGATGAAGCTGGTCAGACAGCAGAGGAGAACTCCAGTTCTTATGATGGAGAGAAGGACCAGGATTCTCATTTGTTGATCAGCAACTGAAATAACAAGAATTCTCAGTCTAGGTTGCTATAAGACGCTGTTGTACTTTATTTATATTCTGTGGTACTTTCATGGTACATCATATAAATTCATTTACGAAAGATTCTCACTTAAAATAACAGAATAAACATACCTTCTTCACAATGCTCTGTAAGGTCCTTTTCAGAATCTTTGTGACCTTTTGGAAGATTAGGAGAGATAAATATTCCCACTGTTATTCCCACTGTAGTACGATAGTATTATATCTCCAACATTTTCTCAATAATATCTCTGATACCTCATATACATGTTAGTGCATTTGGAGTCATAGCAGACAAGTTGTTGAAAAGATTACCTTGGACCTTCAGGAGAGTTGCATTGGTGAAAATGACGTATTTATCCAACATTCCACAGAAGTAAAGACCAGAATCAGCTACATCCAACTCTGTGATTTTGAGGAAGATTATTCTATGGCTGACAAACATTTCCATATGGCTGGGCTGAAAACCATTGTGATGCTGGACAGTTGACTCAGAGCTGAACATAGACGCGATGCCTAGGGGCTCTGAGTAGTTGACTTGCTTGAACCAGCCAACGTGTCCTGGAGCTCCAGTGACATTGGTGCACTGCAAAGTGACATTATCTCCAGGATGGACCACCACTGAGGGAGGAGGAGAGACCGACACAACAGGGGTCAGATCTGAAAGAGAGAAGACAAAGGTTTAGAAACAATTCCAAACATAGAACTTTCTGTTCACTCATGCACTACTATACCTAAACCTAGTCTCAACTATGAATCATAAACTCGTAATGACTTAGATAACTTACACAAGCCATAGATGACAAGAGCTGATAAACATATGCGTGCCATTCTGTGCTTAGAGCTACACTGCCAGTCCATGAAGGAAGGACTACATCTTTATTAGAAAGTGAATTTATGATTAGGGGCGGGACATGGTGTGAGAGCCATAGAGGCATACAATGACCACAGATAGTTTTTTTCTTAAAACCAATCCCTGATTTTCCACTCTTTCATTTGGTTTGAGAGAGAATGATAAGATATTAGTTATAGACTGTAGTTTATCATCATAGAGGTTCCCAGAACTGACCATTTTAAGTTGGTCAAACATACTGTATATTTTCCATTTTAAAGTAATAACGTTTAAATAAAGGGTCTGGATTACAGTAAATATACAAAAAAATCTATTTTCACAGTGATGACACCCATTACAGTTGGGTCTAATCATTCTATTGGGCATTCTATCCACCCCCCTTGTGTGGAATAACAATTGGCTGGAGTTGGTGGTTGTTAACCAATAGGGGGCACTCCTCTGACTGCACCAGGTAGATCACTGAACGGAAGAACACATGGTTGGCAGGAGCATTGGCTTTTAGTCACACTATAGTATACCTTAAAGGTATTGTGAGCTTCGCTGCATTACATTTGATCATAGAAGCTAAAAACAATAGTGTCAGCCCAACAGGACGCTCAGGTCTGTCTATCTGGCCTCTTGTAATCTGGGTTGTAATTCTGCTTGAGAATGTAACAGAGAGAATGTTTGTTACGATCAAGATGATAACAATCAGAACAAACATTATGTAGATCAGCAATCGGGTTTGATTCTCTTGAGAAGGAGAAAAATAATATCTAAGTTTCAAATGAAGGAATTGGTAAGGTTGCTGACCAAAACAAATGGTGTAGTTAATAATACCTGTACCTATACTTGGTGCCCCGTGTGAGGATAAAATGATATTATCCAATTTTTGGGCATTTTATGCAACCTTTTACTTAGAGATCAGGTCTCTGATCGTTAAAATATAATAATGTATCTAATAATAAATACATAAATAAATAATAATCTATGTATCTAATAATATAATGTTTTATTGGAATAATATCAGGTAATAGTACACTTTATCTTACAATACAGGTTACCAATTATGCATGCTATAAAACTCTGGAAATGGTAAATTGGTAAAATAAGTGAAAGAAATTACCTTGAATGTCCAGCTTGGTCCTGTTCCCAAACAGTATCTCCCCACATGAGGACACAGCACAGTAGTTAGTCCCAGCATCAGAGAGGCTGAGGTTCCTCCTGGGGAGGTTGTAGACACAGTTCTGTGTAGGAGACCCAGTCTCAGGGCTTTTCTCACACTGATCACTCCTGTATCCATGGGTGTAAATTATTCCTGAACGGGATTCTCCTGAGCCATGTCTGAACCAATAGACACTGTTCTCCTGCACAGGTCTCAGTGTGTATTGTACAGTTCAGAGTCACAGAGTCTCTTGGCTGGACTGACTTAGACACAAGCTGCCGAATGAGATGCTTGGTACTGGAATCTGCACATTTTGCAATAAAGCCAAGGCTCTATATGATTCCATATGAATGGCATAATTTCTACATACAAAAAGCCAGACAGTTACGTATTATTAAACTTCTGTGTTACTTACCATCATACTCAAAAACACACCTTTCCTGAAGGTCACAGTTTCCAAAGTAACTGTATCCTAATATCTGACTGCCTTGCATCTGAAATGGTCAGCACAAAACGTAGAGTTATGAATATAACTACTGTTCTAGTTATCATACTATGGGGAGTCAAGGACCAATCACATTCACCTGAAGAAAGCAAAAAACAAGCCCAACGGGCCAATGAATGCAGAGCCTGCCTCGGAAGCCTCGCCTTCCTGGCTATAACACCAGGGCTCGCATTAATTTAGTCAATTCAGTACCGCTCTTGAGCGAGCTCAAACCCCCTGACGGCGCGGGGCCAAAATATGTTATACCTTGTTCTCTCCTTCAGGGAACAGGTAGTTATATTCACAACAGTACGTTCCCTTTCAGTCGGTAACTTGATATAACATACTATGGGGACACATAATCCCGCCCCAAGCCGGCTCAGAGGGTAGCAAACTAGGAGGCACACGGTAGCCCAATCACACAGAGGTTCCACTGGCTCCAAAAGGGGGTCTAATACTTACCTGAGACGCCTGAACTGTCAGAGCCTTATGAGGCCTGAACTGTCAGTGCCCCATACAGGGAACCAGAAAATGCTGCAACTTGGCTATGTGCACTGACACGCTGCAGCCCAAGTCCATAGACACCACAGTTCCAAGAAACGTCCCACACAGAGCACAATACTACCTTACAAGCCTGAAATGCCAGAACTCATACAAGGAACCGGAAGTCCACAACAACAGAACAGCTGCTGTAACTTGGCAAAGCGCACACGTGCGCTGCATAGCATTGACCAGAGTCCGTGAACCACAGCAGCCCGAGGCTCAAATCCACAGGAAAACCTGCAGTACCCTGGAATCTGTGTACTCATGCGCTGCCGTGGCAGCCCATGGCTCAAACACACAGGGAACTGTGGTAACCCTGATAAATGCACACTCTGCGCACTTCCGCACACAGTTATAATGGTGCCAGAGGGGATGGCTGCAGTTTTATGGACTCTTAACCAACCGTGCTGTTTAAATTTTTTTTTGCATTGTTTGTAACTTATTTTGTACATAAGGTTGCTGCTACTGTCTTTATGACCGAAAAGAGCTTCTGGACATCAGAACAGCGATTACTCACCTTGAACTGGACGAATAATTTTTCTTTAATGAGTTCTTACGAGAGGGATTTGCTCCAGACACCCGACAGGGCCCGCATCCCCGTCATTCGCAGTAGAAAGAAAAGGAGATATCGCGGAAAGAGATCGGGGTGCCTGTTAAGGAGCCGGCGACGAGTGGCTAATCTGCCTTTGCCATCGATACTATTGGCCAACGTACAATAGCTTGATAAGAAAGTGGACAAGCACGTATATCCTACCAACGGGACATTATAAACTGTAATATCTTATGTTTCACTGAGTCGTGGCTGAACGATGGCATGAATAACATACAGCTGGCGGGTTATACACTGTATCGGCACGATAGAACAGCAGCCTCTGGTAAAACAAGGGGTGGCGGTCTATGTATATTTGTAAACAACAGCTGGTGATTGATATCTAAGAAAATCTTGAGGTTTTGCTCGCCTGAGGTAGAGTATCTCATGATAAGCTGTAGACCACAATATCTACCAAAATAGTTTTCATCTATATTCTTCGTAGCTGTCTATTTACCACCACAAACCGATGCTGGCACTAAGACCGCACTCAATGAACTGTATACGGCCATAAGAAAACAGGAAAACGCTCATCCAGAGGCGGCGCTCCTAGTGGCCGGGTACTTTAATGCAGGGAAACCTAAATCCGTTTTACCTCATTTCTACCAGCATGTTAAATGTGCAACCAGAGCGAAAAAAACTCTAGACCACCTTTACTCCACACACAGAGACGCCTACAAAGCTCTCCCTTGTCCTCCATTTGGCAAATCTGACCATAATTCTATCCTCCTGATTCCTGCTTAAAACAAAAACTAAAGCAGGAAGCACCAGTGACTCGTTCAATAAGAAAGTGGTCAGATGAAGCAGATGCTAAGCTACAGGACTGTTTTGCTAGCACAAACTGGAAAATATTCCGGAATTCTTCCGATGGCATTGAGGAGCACACCACATCAGTCACTCGCTTCATCAATAAGTGCATCGATGATGTTGTCCCCACAGTGACTGTACGTACATACCCCAACCAGAAGCCATGGATTACAGGCGACATCCGCACTGAGCTAAAGGGTAGAGCTGCAACTTTCAAGGAGCGGGACTCTAACCCGGAAGCTTATAAGAAATCCCGCTATGCCCTCCGACGAACCAATAAACAGGCAAAGAGTCAATACAGGACTAAGATCGAATCGTACTACAACGGCTCAGACGCTCGTCGGATGTGGAAGGGCTTGCAAACTATTACAGACTACAAAGGGAAGCACAGCCGCGAGCTGCCCAGTGACACAAGACTTCCAGACGAGCTAAATTACTTTTATGCTCGCTTTCGAGGCAAGTAACACTGAAACATGCATGAGAGAATCAGCTGTTCCAGACGACTGTGTGATCATGCTCTCTGTAGCCGATGTGAGTAAGACCTTTAAACAGGTCAACATTCACAAGGCCGCAGGGCCAGACGGATTACCAGGACGTGTACTCCGAGCATGCGCTGACCAACTGGCAAGTGTCTTCACTGACATTTTCAACTTCTCCCTGTCTGAGTCTGTAATACAAACATGTTTCAAGCAGACCACCATAGTCCCTGTGCCCAAGAACACTAAGGTAACCTGCCTAAATGACTACCGACCCGTAGCACTCACGTCTGTAGCCATGAAGTGCTTTGAAGGCTGGTCATGGCTCACATCAACACCATTATCCCAGAAACCCTAGATCCACTCCTATCTGTATACCGCCCCAACAGATCCACAGATGATGCAATCTCTATTGCGCTCCACACTGCCCTTTCCCACCTGGACAAAAGGAACACCTATGTGAGAATGCTATTAATTGACTACAGCTCAGCGTTCAACACCATAGTGCCCTCAAAGCTCATCACTAAGCTAAGGACGCTGGGACTAAATACCTCCCTCTGCAACTGGATCCTGGACTTCCTGACGGGCCGCCCCCAGGTGGTAAGGGTAGGTAACAACACATCTGCCACGCTGATCCTCAACACACCCTCAGGGGTGCGTGCTCATTCCCCTCCTGTACTCCTTGTTCACTCATGACTGCATGGCCAGGCACGACTCCAACACCATCATTAAGTTTGCCGATGGCACAACAGTGGTAGGCCTGATCACCGACAATGACGAGACAGCCTATAGGGAGGAGGTCAGAGACCTGGCCGTGTGGTGCCAGGACAACAACCTCTCCCTCAACGTGAGCAAGACAAAGGAGATGATTGTGGACTACAAGAAAAAGTAGAGGACCGAGCACGCCCCCCATTCTCATCGACGGGGCTGTAGTGGAGCAGGTTGAGGGCTTCAAGTTCCTTGGTGTCCACATCACCAACAAACTAACATGGTCCAAGCACACCAAGACAGTCATGAAGAGAGCACGACAAAACCTATTCCACCTCAGGAGACTGAAAAGATTTGGCATGGGTCCTCAGATCCTCAAAAGGTTCTACAGCTGCACCACCGAGAGCATCCTGACTGGTTGCATCACTGCCTGGTATGGCAGTGATGCAACCACTGCAAGGTGTATGGCCCATTACATCACTGGGGCCAAGCTTCCTGCCATCCAGGACCTCTATACCAGGCGGTGTCAGAGGAAGGCCCTAAAAATTGTCAAAGACTCCAGCCACCCTAGTCATAGACTGTTCTCTCTGCTACCGCACGGCAAGCGGTACCGGAGCGCCAAGTCTAGGTCCAAGAGGTTTCTAAACAGCTTCTACCCCCAAGCCATAAGACTCCTGAACATCTGCATTGCCCCCCCCCCCCCGTCCCCGTCCTCTTTTACGCTGCTACTACTCTCTGTTTATTATCTATGCATGGTCACTTTAATAACTCTACCTACATGTACATATTACATCAATTACCTCGTCTAACCGTTGCCCCCGCACATTGACTCGGTACCGGTACCCCCTGTATATAGCCTTGCTATTGTTATTTTACTGCTGCTCTTTAATTATTTGTTACTTTTATTTCTTATTATTTGTAGTATTTTTTTGTATTCTTTCTTAAAACTGCATTGTTGGTTAAGGGCTTGTAAGTAAGTAATTTGATTTGATTTGAAGGCTGCTGAAGGGAATCCACAGGGAAACTGTGGTAACCTGGACATAATGCTGCCTAACTTCGACCACGAACAAGTCCATAGACCCTACCGGTTCCAAAAAGGCTCCTGAGGAGTCTGGAATGCCTGAACTCACACAAGGAGTCCAAAAAAACAACAGGGCACCTGCTGTCACTTGATAATGCGCATTTGCACGCTGCCTCATTGCCGAACCATGGCAGCCCAAGGCTCAAACCCACAGGGAAACTGTGGTAACCCGGATAAGAGTGCGTAACCGGCGCGCTTCCTAACTCCCAGACACAGCCATAAGAACACTATGAGCCAGACTGGGAGCAGTTACGTCCAAGCGATAAAACCTCACAAAGGCTTGTGGTGAACTTCAACTTGCTGCAGCACAGATATCACCAATCGCTATGCACCTGAACAATGCCCAAGAAGCTGCCACACCCCTAGTGGAGTAAGCACACACAACGCTATGCAAACCATGCCCTTTGCTGTCATACACCAAGGAGATAGCCTCCACAAACCAAAGAGAAAGACGCTGTTTAGAAAGTACCTTACCCCGAAATGGATTAGCAAAACAGACAAATAGCTGGTGACAAATGCAGATATCCTTGAGCTGATCTATATACGGGCGCAGAGCGCCGATCTATATACTCGCGCAGAGCACGCAATAGTCACAGGCAACTCAACCATCGTTGCTCACTAGAAGCAAACGTAGGAGATGAAAAGGGTAACACCTCGAAAGCTAGAAACCTGTAAGATATACGCATAACCTTAGGAACAAAAGCTGCATTAGGACGTAACATCACCTTGGAGTCGCCAGTCGCAAACTCCAAACAGGGAGGGTGTACTTATAGCGCGTGGATATTTCCACAATGGCCATGAGCAGGGCAGACTTGTGGGAAAGGACCTCCAGGTCCACAGACTCCAATGTTTCAAAATGAGGCTCACACAGAGTAGCCAGGGCCAAAGCCAGGTCCCAGGTCAGTGCCAAAGGCTTAGACACTGGTCTGAGTGATGCTCGTTTTTCAGGAACTGCACCACCAGAGGATGAGACCCCGGGGTAGAGCCATCAATCCCTACATGACACGCCGAGATGGCTGCCATATAAACTATCCATGTAGAAAAGGAAAAGCCCTGCTCAAAAAGCTCTTGCAAGAACACCACAATAGAGCTCTGAAAAGGAGAAACTCCTTTAATCTGACACCAACCCTCAAACGCACTCCAATTATACGTTTACAACCCCCTCGTAGAGGGCATTCACGCCAACTGTATAGTCATAATCAAATTCGAGGGTAAACCCCTAGCCGTCAATTTCAGCCAAACCCAAAGATTCCATATCTGTGGTCGTGGATGCCAAACACTCCTGTGCACCTTGGACAAAAGATACAGACGACACGGAACTCTCCACGGGTCCCTGCCTAACAGGCGGATGATCTCTGCGAACCAGGGTTGTCTCGGCCAAAGGGGAGCCCCCAGAAATCAACAACAGACCCTCCTGTTGGACCCTCTCCAAAGAGGAAAAGCATAAAGCCGAGCCCGAGGTCACTGATGCACCAAAGCATCCGTTCCCTACGGATCGTCCAGATCCCTCATTGAGAAGCACAGGAGGCGCTTTTTCTCGCAATGCGTAAAGATCTACATTGGCCTTGCTGAACCGATCCCATATCTGGGCAACCACCGAGGGGTGAAGTCTTCACTCCATTGAGAGAGGAAAGTAGATCCGCACCCACATTGAGAGATCCGGAAAGGTATGTCGGGCTGAGTGACAAGAAATGCACACTGCTCCTTATGAGCAGATAACGGGCCAGGTTCAGGAGAGGGAGAGAGAGAGAGAGACCACGTCTCCCTGATGTACGTCACCGCCGTCCTGTTGTCAGACCTTACCAACACATGCTGCCCCTCCAATATCGGAAGAAAATGCCTCAGCGCCAGAAAAACTGCAAGTAGCTGCAGGTAATTGATTTGCAGCGCCCTTAGCGCTGTCGACCAAACCCCCCTTTCCGAGTAGCCCACACACAGTGCTCCCCATCCCAGTGAGGATGACTCTGTTGCGATCACCTTTCGGGACATTACCCGGCCCATGGGAACTCACTGTGACAGCAGTCGCGGGCTTCTCCAAGGAGTTAATGGAACCGAGTCCAGAACGAGACCCAGAAAACTGAACGTGTCAGACAACTTTACCTGTGAGTCACCATGAACCCAGAGACCAAATATCAGAAAACAGTGTGAAGATTCACCTGATCCCTCAACTCCGCTATGACCAGCCAATCATCCAGACAGGCCAATATTCTGATCCCCTGACACAGGATGGTGCCAAAGCTGCCTCGCCACCATAGCAAAGGTGCGGGTGACAGGGAGTGTCTGAAGGCAGGACCAGGAACACGTAAGCCACACCCTCGAAATGAAACCTCAGAAACCTTCTGTGGTGAGGATGTATAGCCACACAAAAATATGCATGCTCTGATCAATGGACATTAACCAATCGCTTGGACGCACCAATGCGTGAGCACCTTGAGTGGTTTGTCCAAACCACTCAAGTCCAGGATGAGATGCAGCGTTCCATTGCTCTTAGGAACTAGGAAAGACCAGCTGTACCAACCGCTCTGTACTTCCGACACAGGAATCACCCGGATAGCTCGCTTCCAAAGAAGGGAGGAAATCTCCTCTCTTAAAACAGATGCTAGGACACACCCACGGGGACATCAGAATATTGGCCCACTGGGTGGAGCACGCAGCCAACCTCCCATACATTGTCATCTACACTCACTACTGCAAGTCGCTCTGGATAAGAGCGTCCATCAATGTAGCTTTCCAGAATACAGTTCCCAAACACCTTCACGGAAGCAGAGAACCCATCCAGCTAGCCATTGCTTGGCTGGGATGCCCATCAGGGAATTGAACTCCAGTCCCCTGCATTACAGGCGGGAAACAAACAGCCCCCCTCTCCCCATCTCCGGCAGCCCTGAGGCCACTGTAACACAGTTACAGGCAAACAGGACATCACTTGTGAGTATCTTTAATTTTCATTATTAAATCACATGCCCTAGGGCACCGTCTGAGTCTCAAAACCGGCTGTTTAGCCTTTTTGAACTTACTCTTACCACTGGCCATCTTACTCAAGCAGAGCAGAAGTGGTAGGCTTTTAGCAAACACAAATCCTACCCAAGCAAAGAAGCATTAGCTACACAAGCAGAGCAGAAAGTAGCTAGCTTTTAGGAAACACAAAGACTGATACCAAGACCCGAACTCGCAACTAGGGGTATGAGAATTCTCTCCCCACTAACAGACATCTAAGTTGGAGCCGAATTTAGTAGTCTTCATGTGCTTGAAATATTTGTAAATTGCGTGACATGTTCTCCTTCAGGCGAACTGAAGAGCGAAGATTTTAGGAAATGAATGCGAGCACAGGTGTTTTAGCCAGGAAGGCGGGGCTTCCGAGGGCGTGCTCTGCATTCATTGGCCCGTTGGGTGTGTTTTTAGTTTTCTTCAGGTGAATATGATTGGTAATTGACTCCCCATAGTATGTTATACAGAGTGACCGACTGAAAGGGAACTGTCCCTGTTCTTCTCTGCAGCGAACCAAGGGTTGTTGTCAAACTCCCTATAAAATGTTGGACTTCCAGAGTGAGCATAAATAGATACAATCATCACTGGAGCTTGTCCCACTGTCAGTTTGAACCCGTAGTAGTTTCCAACTTCACCTGACATGAGGCATTGCAAATTTACTGTATCTCCTTGGGTGAATGTCTTCAGGATATCAGACTGAATGATCGTAGCAAGAGAACAGCCTTAAAAATAATTAAAAAACAAAATGTAGCATACTTGAATATCTTTGTTTCTGTGACGAGGTGTGAATGAAGGAGTCAGGCGCAGAAGGTAAAATACCGAAGTCCAGAGTTTATTCCGTTTACATAAATAAAACGCACCCAGCGACAAAACAAAACATCACAAGGGAAATATTCCACCTTGGCAAATACAAATGGAACGATAGCATGGCATCACGGCAGGCTAGCTCCCGTCGGACATCCTCCCTTAGGAGGCACCGGAAATGGTCGATCAGGGCCCGCTCGTTCCACCCGGAACCCCGCTGCCAGCGTCCGGAACTCCAGCGCGTAGTCCTGTGCGGTCCTCGTCCCCTGCCTCAGATGGACCAGTCGTTCGCCCGCCTCTCGACCCTCAGGCGGGTGATCGAAAACGGCCCGAAAGAGGCGAGCAAACTCCCCGTAGTCCTCCAACGCGGCACCTCCCTCGTTCCACACCGAGTTGGCCCACTCCAGGGCTCTCCCACAAAGGCAGGAAACGAGGACAGATACCTTCTCCCGCTCCAGTGGCGCCGGCCTGATGCTGGAGAAATACAGCTCTAGTTGGAGCAGAAATCCCTTACATCGCGCTGCCGTCCCATCAAACGCCGGTGGCCGAGATATCTGGATCCCTCCAGGGGCTGGGGTGTAGATGGCTGGATCCGGTTGACCAGCTGGTCTCGATAGATCGGGTCCTCTCTTCTCCAGGCGTTGCGCTACCTGAAGAACTCGATCCATCGCTTCCCCCAAGCTGGCAAGCATTGAGGAATGCTCCTGGACCCTTGCCACAACTCCAAGCATGCGGTCTTCTCCTGCTGACTCCATTCAGCAGGTGAGTGATTCTGTGACGAGGTGTGAATGAAGGAGTCAGGCAAAGGAGGTAAAATACCGAAGTCCAGAGTTTATTCAGTTTACATAAATAAAATGCACCCAGCGTAAAAACGAAACATCACAAGGGAAATATTCCACCTTGGCAAATACAAATGGAAGAGTAGCTCAACCGAGCTACTCGCTCTCACAATGAAACAATCACTCACAAAGACAAGGGGAACAGAGGGAACACTTATACACATACTAATTAGGGGAATGAGCACCAGGTGTGTGTGATTGACAAGACAAGACATGACAAGTGGAGTGATGAGAATGGGATCGGCAGTAGCTAGTAAGCCGGTGACGACGAACGCCGAAACCTGCCCGAACAAGGAGGGGAGGCAGCCTCGGCGGAAGTCGTGACAGTTTCGTCTCTTCTCTATACCTTTTCCAGGCTGTTCTGTCAGCAATTTTACAGTACGTTTTTATACTTATGAATTTCTGAAACCTACCTATGCTAAATGTCAGACAAAAATGGAAAAATAGTTGCGTCAATGTATAATTCCATCTTTGATGACAGCATCTCCTCATGCATAGACTACTCGTCCTGTGTGTCAGATGGGAGTGAGAGTCAGGAGGTTATGGGTGTCTGTTTCTACAGAAGTGGAGTGAGGGTCCACAGGCCTGATTGGCTGCTGTGACATCAGTAAACACATGGAACAGCACAGATGTACCCTCCCCTCTGAACTTTTTCTGTCCTCATGCTACAAGAGAACCGTTTCCGTTTTCTTCAGAAAGCTATCATTGGTAATGATTGAGAGATAAGAACACTATATGTACGATATGGATATATACTTCTCATTTCAGTTCTTAAATTTGAATTGTTATGATATGTAATAATTGTCCAGCAGCATACCACCCTGCATCTTACTGCTGGCTTGCCACAGAAGCTAAGCAGGGTCGGTCCTGGTTGATCTGCGGATGGCAGACCAGATGCTGCTGGAAGTGATGTTTGAGGGACAGTAGGAGGCACTCTTTCCTCTGGTCTAAAAAAAGGTCCCAGGGCAGTGTTTGGGGACATTGTGTCCAGACTCTCTGGGGTCACTAAAATATCCCATGGCACTTATTGTAAGAGTAGGGGTGTTAACCCTGGTGTCCTGGCAAATTTCCAATTTGACCAACATGGCTTCCAAATGGTTCATTAAACTCCCCTGTTATTATTCCCTATGTTGTTGCTGTAAATTAGAATGTGTTCTCAGTCAACTGGTTGTCAAGCTCATATCTACACACTCAAAGGTATCATTAGTATGACAACTGCTTATAAATGCGTTCTCTAGCAAATGTTTGGAAGAGTGCTTACACTTTTTGGTCTTTTGTACCAAAATTAAATAAAAATAAAATAAAAATTTACATCGGATAAACGTACAGACTCAGAGCTTCAAAATGGTATATCATACACTGCAGTTGAGGACCTTGGGAAAGTAATGCTACTTTGAAAGTTGATTAACTTGTAACCCCACTTTTGAGAAAATGGCCCTTGAATGTTTTGGTACACCTACTAGAGAGCTCTTCCTTGTTTACACACATTCAGCATCGTTCACACCTCTTAAGCCTTAGCCCCACCCATCTCTTTAAGGATTCACATGTGAGGCCATGCGCTAAACAGAGTGAGTAAGGTAGTGTAGTAAACAACCAAATATTTAAAGACTAAAAGGGGTGAAAAGTAGTAGCCCACAATAAGGGAAAAACTCCAGGTAAAAATACACCTTATCTAGTCCTTGGCCTATATCCTAATCTGACTTTGGTGGAGCTCATGTTGTTCTTTACATTGCTGCCTCTGGTAAACTAACTGTAAGTCGCTCTGGATAAGAGCGTCTGCTAAATGACTAAAATGTAATGTAAATGTAAACACACACTATTTCAAATAAAATCTAAGTTTATTTGTCACATGCACAGGATACAGAAGGTGTAAACGGTACAATGAAACGCTTACTTACACATTTGCAATTAGCAATATCAAAAATAGAATGTGTCAATGGAAAAGAGTCAACAAAGTGTAAATTCCAGTAGAGAAAGAACAAAATAATATACACTATGTACAATAACAATATCAATAACGAGATCAGTGATACTGGTGATAGATGAGGTAGTTATATGCATACAATCAAGGGTAAAGTGACTGAGCAGCAGGATAAAAAATAAATAGTAGCAGCAATGTGTGTGTGTATGTGTGTGAGTGTGTCTGAAATCACCCCCAGACACACCTGGCCAAGTAGATGGTTCATGAAAAAGAAAGGCTATATCCACCCACCAGCCACATCTATCTAAGTGTATGGGTCTCTATTGTCTAGATATGTACACATGTTCATGAAATACAATAGATTAGGCCGTAATCATCCCAAGACACACCTGGCTAAGTTGATGGGTCAGGTAATCATCTGGCGAAGTTGAGTCTTGTGTTTAGACATTTAACGTTAGCAAGATAGCTAGCTAAACAATGAACAATAATCCCAACGCATACGGTATGGTAATACAAATGGATTGTCATAGCTAGCCACCATGCATGAAATTATGTAGTATGAATCTGCAGGTTGAAAGCTAAACAACTAGGTTAAATGATAGCTAGCTATCAGTAGGCTATATAACTAGCAATGCAAATGGTTTTATGAGATGAATAATATTACTACACAGCTCATACACGTACTGTAGCTAGCTAGCCAGCCAGCTAACGTTAGCTAGATAGCTACCTAGCTAGCTAACAGTAGGCTTTAACTTTCAATGGAAACAACTTCCTGACAAAATTTGAAAATGTAGCTAGACTCTTACCCTTATGCATTGTTGAATGCTTCATGACTGGAAAGCCTTTCACTAAGTTAAACATACACTACCGGTCAAAAGTTGTAGAATACCTACTCATTCAAGGGTTTTTCTTTATTTTTACTATTTTCTACATTGTAGAATAATAGTGAAGACATCAAAACTATGAAATAACACATATGGAAGGAATCATGTAGTAACCAAAAAAGTGTTAAACAAATCAAAATATATTTTATATTTGAGATTCTTCAAATAGCCACCCTTTGCCTTGATGACAGCTTTGCACACTCTTCTCATTCTCTCAACCAGCTTGACCTGGAATACTTTTCCAGCAGTCTTGAAGGAGTTCCCACATATGCTGAGCACTTGTTGGCTTCTTTTCCTTCACTCTGCGGTCTGACTCATCCAAAACCATCTCAATTGGGTTAAGATTGTGGAGGCCAGGTCATTTGATGCTGCACTCCATCACTCTCCTTCTTAGTAAAATAGCCCTTACACAGCCTGGAGGTGTGTTGGGTCATTGTCCTGTTAAAAAACAAATGATAGTCCCACTAAGCCCAAACCAGATGGGATGGCGTATCACTGCAGAATGCTATGGTAGCCATGCTGATTAAGTGTGCCTTGAATTCTAAATAAATCACAGACATTGTCACCAGTAAAGCACCCCCACACATAACACCTCCTCCTCCATGCTTTACGGTGGGAACTAGACATGCGGTGATCATCTGTTCACCCACATGGCGTCTCACAAAGACACGGCGGTTGGAACTGTGGTGAATGATGGACGGAGTCAGGCGCAGGAGTAAAATAACCGGATGCAGATTTATTCCTTCCAGACAATACAACGCCTACAACGGCAATCGAAACAGGTACAGGGGAAACAATCCTCCCCGTCCAAACACAGTCTAAGAAAATACAATAAAGGTAATGACACAGGGGAAAATCAACCCTGGCAAAATAAATGAGAGAGTATCTCAACCGAGCTACTCTCCTCCCACATAGAACAATCACTCACAAAGACAAGGGGGCAGAGGGAACACTTATACACAGACTAATTAGGGGATGAGCACCAGGTGTGTGTGAAAGACAAGACAAGACAAGTGGAGTGATGAGAATGGGAGCAGCAGTAGCTAGTAAGCCGGTGACGACGAACGCCGAAACCTGCCTGAACAAGGAAGGGAGGCAGCCTCGGCGGAAGTCGTGACAGTACCCCCCCCCCCTTGATGCGCGGCTCCAGCAGCATACTGACCCCGATGAGAGTTGCAGGCTCATGTCTATCAGAGCAGAGAGAGGGAAAAGTGAATCTCATTCTAGTTCTGAGAGAGAGAGATACAG